TCATTAATTCTATATATTCCAATTTGCTTCCATTCCTTAAATTGTGCATATTTCTTTTTAGACTTTAAATCTGGGTGATCCCATGAGGGGACATAAATGGGATACTGGGGGAGGGCAATGTTTTACTATGTTTTCTCCATATCCTTAATGTTTCAGAAATGAATGGGTTCTGTATTTGTTCTCCTTTTCCAGTTTTTTTAGTAGTGTAAATATACTTGTTTACTATGTCCGTTTTCATTTCATTTTCCATTTTGACCCAATCAGAATGTTTACAAGTCTCGTCAATTTGAATAAGTTTAATAATTTGGTTTATTTGTAAAGCTTCATAATATTTTTGAAGCTGTGGTATTCCTAATCCCCCCTTTTGACCCTGTCTATATTTGACACTATTTATGAATCTTATCTTCTCTCCCTTTCCTGCAATAAAATTTTCTAGCTTTCCTTGCCATAGTTTTACTTTTTTTGTATCTGCTATTTTGGAATAGAAATTGAAATTTTGGTAATATATAAGACTTAATCAAAGCGATTCTCCCCAGCATTGATAGGTTCAAATTGACCCACTTTGTCATTTTTTCTTTTGCAAATTTAAATAGATTTATAATTTCTGTAGATTAATTAAGATTTTTTTGTTACCCATATTCCTAAGTATTTAAAACTTGAATAACATAACTCTAAATGAGATGCTTTTCTAATTTCATTTTGTTCTCTAATAGGGATATTTAAACATAATAATTTAGATTTTTGGATATTAATTTTTAAACCTGTATATTGACTATATTCCTCTAATATTTCTTATAAATGTTCTATTCTTTGTAATGGGTCCTCCAAAAAAAGGAGCATATCATTTGCGTATAAGACCAAATGTGCATCTCACCCACGGCTAGAACCCCATCTCCTCAATTTAAAGGACTTAAAATTGTGCAGTCAACTGGCATTCAAAATCATAGTGACTATGTAGCAGAGTACAATTTTAATTTTATACAGCATATGGTTTGCTACTATTGTTTGCTAATGTTCATCAGAAATATGTCAATACTTGCCAATAAAATTAATTTTGGGTGTAGATATCTTCTTTACTGCAATGTTAGTTGGAACTATTGTTGTTTTGTTGTTTGATGCTGAGCTAAGGAGTACATTGGCAGAGGGAGTAAGAATTTTCACCGCCAGAGATGAAACAGAAGAATTCACAGTGTTACTGTTTGTTACAATATTTGAAGAGACAGCTGTTGGTTTGGAACCTGATGCTGCAGATGTAGCCTGAGTGACAACGTTTGGTTCAGTTGAAGGGATTGGCTTCCCAAGTTTAGTATGTAGCTTGACCACCTAGAACCACGAATTAAAACAGTTAAAAGAAAGCTCAGACAAAAATGCTCAATACATGTGTACAAAATCTGGTTTCGAAACTTCAACTAAAAATATAATCTTAAGGAGAAGCATTAGTAGTGAGCGTTAATTTAAAAAGAGATGTAAACATTAGGGTCCTGTAGGAAGTTGTCCTGTAGGAAGTTGTCCTGAAGTGGTTTTTCTTTTCTTCCACAACACTGAAGCTAACTTGCATCTTAATTTTTTTGAAAATGCATCCCACACTAAATCAGAAACAGTACTATTACTGCTTTTTTATGTTAGTACTGTAACACTACTTTTCATTTATTGTCTCTACAAATCTAGTCAAAAACCTCACAGCACACCAAATCGGCAAAGTTTAGGAAAAAAGAACTAAAGGATGGGATAACCTACTTTTTGATGCTTGGCTCCACGAATATGGGCAGCATAGGCATCAGCTCCTGTACAGGATACATCACAGAGTTCACAGCGCAGCTGGTTCTGAGTTCCCCGAGCAGATGAACTGTTGCTGGTGGTGTTTTGTGCTACTTTCAATGCTGCTTCTTTCTTTTTATGTTTCTGTCCCTCCAAATGTTCTTTGTAAGTCTGTTTGAATTGTTACAAAAAGTATACAAAATATACATTAGAACCTTTCAACACTATTTATAATTCCAAAGAAACAAAGCATATAAATAAAAAACTAAAAAAGTAAAAAACTTGATTTTGCTATATCAAAGAAACTGTTACATCCCTTATAATTTTTCAGCAATAAAAGTCTGGTAAAATGTCCCATAAAAACTGTATTTCCTAATCATCCACAGAGCTGCAATTGGTAGAATCTGGCTTAGTAACCTAGATAGTAACTTGTATGGTATTATGTAAGTCATACACAGGTGGTTAAGTAAAATAAAAAATTATTCAATTTAAATGTAATTCTGTTAACAGTACAGATATCTTTTCTTTTCTAAGAATACTTCTATTACATTCGTCGTTTTCCAAGCTAGACAAAAACAATGATCACAAATAGTTTCCAAGGAGACACAGTGAGCATTACAATCAATTTAATTTCATTTTAAAAACAAAACATCTACAACAATTAACATTTCGGGGGTGGGGGTGGGGGGGTGACCAGCCTTAAAAGACTGACATAACTAGTCCCATGAATCGCAATGTGCTCTCAAATTGTGTTGCTTGAATTACCTGCCCTCCAAAATACATCTGGAGTCAAGAGAGGGTATTCTGCAGTATTTTCTCCTTCTTCAAGAGTCAAAACAGAAGTCTCTGGGAAAGCCAACACGCCCCTTCAGATCACAACCAATGTCTTGAATTGTAAGCACTGTTCATACATTACAGATTTAATACAGGTTGAAATCCTGCAGCTTAGGCACAGTAAATTGACCTAGTTTAGGCCACTGAATCAGCAAGGATTTTGTGAGTCAATTATTCTGTAAGTTTCATTGATTCAAGTGGTCTTCTCATACTCTAGCGCAATTTACTACACAAAGCAATAGGACTTTAGCCACTAACTGTAGCCTAGATTGAACGTTTCTTGAATACTTGCAGTACACAAACTGTTCTATTTTAGAAAACAGGCTCACATAGAAAAAAAACCAATGGTACCTGTGGTCCAGCACAGCTGATCTTACAAACATCACAATAGTGGATCTGGGGTGGTTTGGGAGGTTGTTTTGGTTTCAACTGTTTATTTTGGAATGGTGCCTTTTTAGTAAAGGTGGTCCCTGTCCAGGCGGCTGTTGCAGCGGCGGCAGCAGCAGCAGCTGCCGCTTGTTTTTGCTGCTGCTGCTGCTGTTGATAATAAGATGATGCAGCTGAATATACTGCAGCCTCATAGCCAGAATAAGATGTACCTTTGAATAATAGAAAAAGAGCTGAACTGTGTAAAACTAAACGATTTAAATATTCTAATTAAGTGCACAATTCTTATGACAGATACTTCTTAGAACCTATCTTTCACATGAGACTTTCATAATTATTGTAACATAGACAAAATTTGTGCTAAATATAAAAAAAGACTTATTTTAATCAATACAGCCAAGCAATGCCAATAAACAGTCATTACTTGCAGACCACAAAAATTGTATTTTTTATATTGGAGTAACACCCTCATTCACAAAACTACAGTAGAGATATATAATCATCACATGTTGGATCAAAAGGTGATTTCAATGGCTGACATAGATGCAGCATGGTACAATACAGGGGAGAAAACATGTTGATGCCTTCACATGCATGCAAACCCCTAAGTCCAGCTGGACATGGACCTTTGAAGTATACTGTGTTGCAGATTATCTATTCCTTGCTCATATGGCAGAGGGACTACCAAGACATGAGTACTGTGACCCTATCTCGACATGGGGGCACTCACTACCTTGGTGCATGCGCTCGTAATCTCAAGATTAGATCACTGTAACACGCTCTACGTGGGGCTGCCTTTGAGGCTGACACGGAAACTTCAGGTGGTGCAGAATGCAGCGGCCAGGCTCCTTACAGGAGTGAGAAAATATCAACACATCTCTCCAACGCTGGCCGCATTGCATTGGCTGCCCATCTGTTTCCGTGTCAACTTCAAAGTTTTAATGCTTACTTATAAGGCCCTAAACGGTTTAGGACCTCGATATTTGGTGGAACGCCTCCTCCCACCAAGGTCTACCCGGATCACCCACGCGAGTCAGGAGGTGAGGCTGAGGAGCCTGACGCCGAGAGAGGCCCGGAAGGAGAAGACACGAACCCGGGCCTTCTCGGCGGTGGCTCCTCGCCTCTGGAACAATCTCCCTCCGGCGATTCGCGCGGCCCCCACGCTGGGCATCTTTAAAACCCAATTTAAAACATGGCTGTTTATTCAGGCCTTCCCTCCAGCCAACTCTTGATTTTTTTCTTACTTTTCCTTTTTATCTTTATTGCTGTTCTTGTTTGATTATTATGTATCTGTCTATGTTTTATTATTTGATTTTATATTTGGAAGCCGCCTAGAGTGGTCCGGTGGGCCAGACAGGCGGGGGATAAATTAAATAAATAAATAAATAAATAAATACTCTTGAGGGTTTTTATGCCCCATTGAAACTGGCAAGGAAGACAGGGACCACCTCCCAAAGCAAGAGAAGTTGACATTAGCCAAAAGACACAACTTGTTTCTCTGGCTAGTCAGCATGGGATCACTTTGATAATATACGCTACTTTTACAACTATGGAATAGTGCATAAACATGTTCTATACAGCAAATTTCCAATCTAGTATTGATACACATATGGAGTCAGAAGTATTTAAAACTACCTCAAATGTGTAAATAGCCTCCAGCTGCTGTACAGAACAGTTCTAGCCATTATGACTAGAATGCTTTTTGTGTAAATATACCATGTGATTAAAGGATTAAAACATAAGAAACCTGAACAGGACATAATGAGTGCAAGATGTAGCTTGCTCCAACACATCCTACAACTTGAGGCCATCTTTTTTCTAATATTTTTGTTAATACCATAAGTCTAAATCTGATTCACTCCAAGCAGAATGAACCCTCTGCTTCAGCTGGTGAACAGCAAATCAATACTTATGTACAGTTGTGTTCAAAATTATTCAGCCCCCAATGCTGTAAAGGGGTTTAGGGACTATAGTGTACATTTGGAATTGTATTCAGAATGAAATCCTACAAGGACATTTTAAATAACCAAATGCAACTAAAATAACATCAATTGTTTATGTAATACAGTAGTAAATGTTTCTTTTGTGGTTTCTTCATTGCCACAATTATTCAACCCCTTAAAGACTACCACTCTGAAGAAGAGAGGTTCATTCAGGTGTTTTCGAACAGGTATTGAAAACACCTGTGGATGTCACCGAGCACCAATCAAGCATAATAAGCACCAATTAGGCAGCTTTAAAATGACTGTGATACTCAGCTCCTTCTAGACATTTACTAGTGTGGTTACAAACATGGTGAAGTCAAGAGAATGGTCCAGGAAGACAAGAGAAGAGGTGATTTGTCTTCACAGGAAGGGCAATGGCTATAAGAAGATTGCAAAGAAGTTAAACATACCAAGAGACACCATAGGAAGCATCATTCACAAATTCAAGGCAAAGGGCACTGTTGAAATGCTACCTGGTCGTGGAAGAAAGAAGATGCTGACTTCGACTGCTGTGCGCTACCTAAAGCGTAGAGTGGTGAAAAGTCCCCGTGTGACTGCTGAGGAACTGAAAAAAGATTTGTCAGATGTGGGTATAGAAGTTTCAGCTCAGACAATAAGGCGCACACTGCGTAATGAAGGTCTCCATGCCAGAACCCCCTTGCTGTCTCCCAAGAATAAGAAGAGTCGACTGCAGTATGCCAAAAGTCATGTGAGCAAACCACAAAAGTTGTGGGATAGTGTTCTATGGACTGATGAAACAAAATTAGAACTGTTTGGGCCCATGGATCAACGCTATGTTTGGAGGAGGAAGAACAAGGCATATGACGAAAAGAACACCTTGCCTACTGTGAAGCATGGCGGAGGGTCAATAATGCTTTGGGGCTGTTTTGCTTCTGCAGGTACAGGGAAGCTTCAGCGTGTACAAGGTACCATGAATTCTCTTCAGTACCAGGAGATATTGGATGAAAATGTGATGCAGTCCGTCACACACCTGAGGCTTGGGAGACGTTGGACCTTTCAACAGGACAATGATCCCAAGCATACCTCCAAGTCCACTAGAGCATGGTTGCAGAGGAAAGGCTGGAACATTTTGGAGTGGCCATCGCAGTCACCAGACTTAAATCCGATTGAGAACCTCTGGTGGGACTTAAAGAAAGCAGTTGCAGTGCGCAAGCCTAAGAATTTGACTGAACTGGAGGCTTTTGCCCATGAAGAATGGGCGAAGATACCCGTAGATCGCTGCAAGACACTTGTGTCAAGCTATGCTTCACGTTTAAAAGCTGTTATAACTGTAAAAGGATGTTGTACTAAGTACTAAGATTGAATGTCACTTGGGGGTTGAATAAAAACTAATAATGATGTGAGCACAGAAAAGACATTTGTGGTTATTTCATTATAAACTTAAGGTTATATTTCTCTGACCTATCACTTGGGGGTTGAATCAAAACTAATAATGATGTGAGCACAGAAAAGACATTTGTGGTTATTTCATTATAAACTTAATGTTATATTTCTCTGACCTACAAGTGCCTCTTTCATGTAAATGTAAGCAAGATGACTGAATGATCAAAATCAATGTCAAAATGGCCAAAACATTCAATTTCAGTGGGGGCTGAATAATTTTGAACACAACTGTAAATAGGCTTGAAATGGGTTTGTTTGATGGGTCTACTCTAGTTGGGATAACTACTGGATTTAGGCTGAAGGGACTAAAAGGTACAATCTTGTTCTTAGTGGAGAGTAAGAACTACTGTACAAAGTGCGATTTTCTCCTGAATTAGCATGCATAGAAATAAAATAGTTATAAGTCAAAGCAAAAATTGTCTTTCCCAAATATTGCAGAAATGTTTGGAACATTTCAAAAATAGCACCATTTTGCAGCTCTCACTTCAGCATCACAGACTTTTGAACCACCATTTCAGTTTCAGGACTGCAATATTCTTTTTAAAAATTACTCACCAGAATAAGTAACTGCTGTTGTACTGTATGTAGCACTCTGGGTATATGAAGGAACAACAGTAGCTGCTGCTGCAACTGGTTGCACCGTGGAGGATACAGGATATATGGAGAATGTAGTGGTTGCTGGACTTGGAGTGGCTGGTTTTATGGCTGTCACCTGTCGAGTTTGTTGAGCTTGAGTGTACTGAGTTGCTCCTTGGCTATAACCAGCTTTTGGAGCTAATTAAATCAAAAGAATCAAATTATACATTAAATATTAAAAAATCCACAAACAACTGCAACATAAAATCTATTTTATTTAGTTTTTTACTTGAGACTCTCACTTCATAAAACAGAAAATAAGGCCATTAAAGCCACCTTTTATCTTAATTATTACAAATACTATACTGAAGTAATCAGAAACATATAAAAAGGAAATAATACAACTAAGTTACAACTTAAACTATCTGCCTATAGCATAGTCTCAGGTCTGCGTACATACCTGGTCTGCCTAACCAACTGCTTTGCTCAACATCTCAGCAGACTAATGTCCAAATGAGCATAATATGGCCCAAAGTCATTTCTGCAGCATTCCAAAACATTTAAAATATTAAAATGTTCACTTAAGTTGGGATTGTGATCACACTGAAAATCAGAAGTACAATTTCACAGCTACTTTTTTTTTGCTTTTCAGTGGGTATCTTGATTGATTGATTGATTGATTGATTGATTGATTGATTTCTATACTACCCATCTGGCAACCCAGGCCACTCTGGACGGTTCACACGGCACAGTAAAACAGACAGTACAATAACAAAATAATGTATAAATTAATCAATAGAATTTAAACAATTAAAACTAATATTGATAAATATTAACATAAAAAGGGAAAGATGGTGGGTTGAACTGTAAGTTGGATCAAGGTAGAATAGAGTCTGGGAAGGCCTCTATAGGATAGAGATACCAGGAAAGTATCTGATGTTTATTTAAAAGATATCTCTACATATACTGGGAAGGTATCTGATATTTATTTAAAAGATATCTCTACATAATTGTTGATCAAGCAATATTTTCTGCTTTTATAATCATTTAAAACCACTGTTTTATGCTTAAATTGCTGTAACTGCATAGAGGAATATCCATATGGAATTCTTCAATCAACCTCCCTCTGAGGAAATTAGTGACTGATATACAGTGGTGCCTCGCTTAACGAGCGCTTCGTTTAATGACAAATTTACTTAGCGATGACTTTTTCTGAGCGATCTTGCGCTCCGTTTAACGATGTTCCCTATGGGTGATTGTCGCATAGCGATGTTTCGCATAGTGATGACAGTTTGGGTCCCCCTGTTTCGCTTAACGATGGTTTTGACAGCCTCATGTTGGCTGTTTTTTATATGTTTAAAAATGTTTAAACATGTTTAGAATGCTTGAAATTATAAGTGCACTTAATAAACCCTTTGTTAAACTAATCTGACTTTGTTCCGACTCTTTTTAAATTTGTTGCATTTTTCCCCCATTGAGATGCATTGAATAGGTTTCAATGCATTTCAATTGGGGAACCGTGTTTCGCTTAGCGATGTTTCCTATGGCGATTTTCGCTTAAGGACGGCAATCCGTTCCCATTGGAACGGATTATTCAGTTTTCAATGCATTTCAATGGGAAACTGCGTTTCGCTTAGCGATGTTTTCCCATAGTGATGATTTTTTTTGGAACCAATTAAAATCGTTAAGCGAGGCACCACTGTATTGTATTACAGGACTCAATGATTGAGGACTCTTTAGGCATCAGAAAATCACATGGCTATCACCTATGAACACCAGCTGAAACTGGTGCTCGCGTGCATGCACAAATGGCAGCGTGGCACCTGTGAGGGCAAAAGCGCACACATGCTTGTTCACACACACGTGGGGGTGCCCTGCCTTCCCCAGCCAGTCCACAGACCGGAAAAGGTTGGGGAATGCTGCACTAAACCACACTAGATGTAATTATTGTAATCCACTTGGAAACGATAAAGATGGCTGCTTAAATAGCATGCATAATTAAACAACAAATATGCACAAGCCCAGCTTCCTCAAATTTGAGCTCTCTTCATCTGTGTGCGTGTCCTCCTTCCAAAAGCCCCCAGTCATTGTTAACTTATTTTATTTATTTATTGTATTTATACCCTGCCTATCTAGTCATTTCGACCACTCTAGACGGCTGTTTCCCAATCACAACTGAGATGTCTAAATCTACTTAATATGTCAAATTGAAGTTGGGATCCTTTGATTTAGCAGTAGAGCTGTATGTATAAAGGCACATAGCCTTCATTTATGAAAACAGAGCAGCAGCCTTTTTCCTACTACTGCTTTAAAATGTAACAGCATAATGCTCCCCTTTCCGCTTTCTCATACAACTTGACTTTGTAGACTAAGAGCAAAGCATTACATCTGGGCATGAATTAGGTTATGAAACGTAACTCATGAAACCTAGGTTTAAAAGGTGAGAGGAAACTTAACAGTAACATTGGCACCTGCTAGGAGTTAATTTTTACAGTATGTTTTCTGTCTTTTGCTGTGTTTAGTTATGTGTAACCATCTTAGCAGTGATACTGAAGAGCCTTATATATTGCACATTAGGTTCATCACTCAAATAGTAGCTCCTATATACCAGGGGTCCCCAACCCCCAGTCTGCAACCTGGCAGTGGTCCACAGCCTACGCAGGACCAAGCAGCACACACAGATCTCCTGCCCCCAATGCGACCCTCCCAGGCAGCACTCTGCCTCCCGCGAGTGTGCATGTGTGCAAGCACCCTCCCTGCGGGCGTGCCACACCCCATGAGCATGCCACGCCCCCCACAATTCTGCCATGACCCCCAACTGGTCCGCATGTGCAACCCGGCAGTGGTCCACAGCCTACGCAGGACCAAGCAGCACACACAGATCTCCTGCCCCCAATGCGACCCTCCCAGGCAGCACTCTGCCTCCCGCGAGTGTGCATGTGTGCAAGCACCCTCCCTGCGGGCGTGCCACACCCCATGAGCATGCCACGCCCCCCACAATTCTGCCATGACCCCCAACTGGTCCGCAGTTGGGAAAAGGTTGAGGACCACTGCTATACACCATTTATTAAATTCTGCTAAAGTTTGGAAATCAACAGCAACGTATTTCTGAATTTTACAAAAAGAAAGCTGAAATTATCTAAAATAAAAGCTTTGTGAAACTTACCTGTTTGGTAGTATGATTCAGCTACGGAAGGTTGTGGCTGGGCAGCTGCTGCCACTGCTGCTGCTGTTGCTGTCGGCTGCTGATAATACTGCTTGCTGTCGTAAGCCACAGCTGGGGCAGTGGACCTAACATAAGAGTAGGAATCCTGAAGAAGTGCAAAAGAAGAAATTGTGGATGTTATTTTCCCACTTGAACATATACATTTAGAAACCAACATACATTAACTAAGCAAGTTAACTGGAGGAAAGTATCTCATCCATTTCAGACACCTGAATTCCCAGAGAAATTAATCTCTGGAAGATTGGAAGGCTTAGACAATGCTGGATAGCGTAGAAACAGGGATATTTCCTTCTCTTAATTTATGATGCAAGCTTGTATTTGGGCTGCTTTTCATTCCCATGCGAAAACCCAGAAATGCTGAAGACAGGATGAAATGTTTTGGCAAAAATGTCCTCAAGTTAGTTCAGGTTTCCAGCTACTAATTAGTAATAAATTATTTTGATTGATCCACACATGCAAGTCTTTAAAAAGGGGAAAGATTTAACACTTAATGAGTCACCTTTTGAAAACCACAGAATAAAAATTTCTACAATTAATAAATGAATAAACAGATCCTGGACAAAATGCTGCACTACCTAGCATTGCATCAAATAAAAATATGTTAGTGTACCTTAGAGAAGCATTTTCTCCTTCAACAATATGCCATACAACATTTTTTCCACCACAGACCGTGAATCACAAGACTAAACATGTATGCCAATGACAGTTGTTCAGCCAGTAAAAGGTCTAGACTTTAGAGAGAAACTGGAGGATTTTTTAATCTGGGGGTAGAGATTAAGTCTACTTCCTAGATATTTTACAATTTTTTTGAAGAATTCGGCATTCAAGGAATTGTAATTTTTTTCTTTCAAAGGTAGTTTCTAGCCCCAACGAACATAAAGAAATAAACTGTTTAAATTGTGCAATTTATACTAATTACAGAATTTTGCCTTTTTGTTATAGAACTTTTTAAAAAATCTCTACACATTGTCATTTCAGCACTGAAGACTCTGTATTCAATGCAGCAATTATTGTACAGTGGTGCCTCGCATAGCGAGGTTAATCCATTCCGGATTAACCTTCGCTATGTGAAAACTTCGTTAAACGGAAAGTAAAAAGCCACTGGAACGCATTAAACATCGATGTTTAATGCGTTCCAAATCAGCTGAAAACTCACCGTTTAGCGAAGTCTTCCCATAGCTGGCAGCCATTTTCGCGCCCTCGGTAAGCGAGAAGAGGGCGCGAAAACGCCGCGCGCGGCCATTTCGGCTGTTCCGGCAGCCATTTTGGACCCGCCAAACAGCTGATCCGCGAGTCGCAAAGCAAAGGTCAGTAAGCGAAACGCTTACCGACCTTCGCTATGCGAGTTTCGCCCATTGGGGCCATCGGTAAGCGATTGCATTAGCGATCGCGGAAACCGCATCGCTATGCGATTTCATCGTTATATGGTGCGTTCGTTAAGCGAGGCACCACTGTATATAAATTTTGAGGGTCCTGTTTATTAATTCAAAAGAATTTGGGGGCTTAAACCCTCCTCACTCACTCACTTTGGAAAAAGTACTCTCTGAAACTCAAAAATGATCTAGAGCTTTTCAAAAGAAAAAAAGAATTGTGTAACACCAAAGGTAGATAGTGAAATGTATTTTCTCTATTAAATACACTTACCTGATAATTTTGTGTAGTGACTGGAGGTGGTGGTGGAGGAGCTTCTTGCTGTCTCTGGGTGTAACCATAGTCTGTTGCTGTATGTGCTGTAGGGTACCCTCCATAGGCTGCAGCTGTTGCAGCAGCTGCAACAGCCACTGGAGCAGGCCTAGCTACTGCAACTGTTGCTGCAGCTGGGGCATAGGCAGCAGTAACTGTGTGTGCAGCTACAGGAGCCTGATGGACAGTGTAGCTTGCAACTGTAGTTGGATGGGAATAAGCTACACCTGAAGCTGGCTGCTGGCTGTAACAGGAAGAAGACAAGAAGCAATAATGTGAGTTAATGGCATATGATCGGCTCTTTCAAAAATTTCCATGTTTAGATGTACCTGACAAAGATTAAACTGCATCAGAAATGCAATCCAACTGATCTATTACATACAGTAAATGATAAGGGAAGTATTGCATAGCATTTGCTAACAATGGCATCCATCAACAAACCCAGCTCTCCAAATCACCAAATTCTGTTGCAGAGGATTAGGGATCCTCCAGAGAACATTGGTGGGGAGAAGACATAAAGAACAAAAAGGTAGGAAAGTTCTGTTGTGTCAACAGATATTGTACTTATCCCTTAGAAGTAACATTTTAGTAACATCTTTGAATAAAGTCTAGTTCTATAGGTCTAAAAAAGCCCAATTATTCATAGAGATTATGTACATCCAGATCTGGACGTGGATTCAATTAACTAATTTCATTCATATACAGAATCACTGACAGCACAATCCTACTTGGACATAAATCCCACTGAACTCAAAAAGACATATACTTCTGGAGAAGTATAAAGAATGGTAGCCTTGTGGGATTACTATATTATATGTCATCATTCACATATTGCAAAGTGAATGCTTTCTGTAGTACGAAAGAAGCAAAGACAGACCAAAAGAGGAATACAGTGGTGCCTCGCACAACGATGTTAATTGGTTCAAAAAAAAAACCCGTTCTGTGAAACATCGTTCTGTGAAACACCATTTCCCATAGGAATGCATTGAAAACCGGTTAATCCGTTCCAATTGGAACGGATTGCCGTCCTTAAGCGAAAATCCCCATAGGAAACATCGTTGAGGGAAACACGGTTCCCCAATTGAAATACATTGAAGCCGACTCAATGCATCTGAAAGGGTTTGCGAAGTCCCTTTTCGCTCCTGTAAAAGTGCCTTAAACTGTTTGAAAAGTGTTTTAAATGCTTGCTATCGTTAGCCCACCTCCTGAAACCTATGTAAACTTAATTTGGTGTTGTTCTGAGTCTTCGTTAATTTTTGGTGATTTTTTGTTTTCTCCATTGAAAGCCATTGGACGGACCGTCCAATGGCTTTCAATGGAGAAAACAAAAAATCATCAAAAATTAACGAAGACTCAGAACAACACCAAATTAAGTTTGCATACGTTTCACAAGCTGGACTATCGATGCCAAGCATTTAAAACAGGTTTCAAACAGTTTAAGGCACTTTTACAGGAGCGAAAACGGACACTGGAAAGAGCTTCAAAAGCAGGGAAACGGAGATCAAAGAGCCCTTTCCGATGTCCCTTTTCGCTCCTGTAAAAGCGCCTTAAACTGTTTGAGAAGTGTTTTAAATGCTTGCTATCGTTAGCCCACCTCCTGAAACCTATGCAAACTTAATTTGGTGTTGTTCTGAGACGTCCTTAATTTTTGGTGATTTTTTGTTTTTTTTCTCATTGAACTGGAAAACAAAAAATCACCAAAAATTAACAAAGACTCAGAACAACACCAAATTAAGTTTGCATACGTTTCACAAGCTGGACTATCGATGCCAAGCATTTAAAACAGGTTTCAAACAGTTTAAGGCACTTTTACAGGAGCAAAAAGGGACATCGTTGTGCGAAAATTCCCCATAGGAAACATCGTTGTGTGAGGCGGCAAATTTTTCAGAAAAAGCCATCGTTGTGTGAATTCATCGTTGTGTGAGGCACACGTTGTGCGAGGCACCACTGTACTAGAATGCTCCTAGGAGACTAAAGGTCATTTAAGAAAAAGAATCTGAAGATGCAGTTGGAACTTTCTACAAGAAGTGCACTGGAATCTGTTTTCATCTATCACCAAACCTGTAGAGAAAAGTCTGGTACCAGATTGCTCCAAATTGGTTAATGTAATTATTAGGCTATAGAATGGAAATCTGGAGATAAGAGCCTACTTTAGTTTTATTATTATTTATTATTACTGATACAAGACAATACTGCTTTATTACCAATACAATTAAGAAAAACAGAGTGGCTAAACTTCACTGAAAAAAAAAACGGAGAGGCACTTTCTCTCTCTCTTTTATTCCCACCAAACAATTCTAGCAACTTTTGATGGCAACTAAATACCATGGAATAACTGTAACCCTATACAGTGGTGCCCCGCAAGACGGGCGCTCCGTTTGACGATGAAATTGCTTGACGTTGATGTTTTTGCGATCGCAAAACGATGTTCCCTATGGGGGAATTTCACTTTGCGATGATCGGTTCCCTGCTTCGGGAACCGATCATTGCAAAGCGATGATTTTTAAACAGCTGATCGGCGGTTTCAAAATGGCCGCCGGGTAAACAAAATGGCCGCCCACTGTGTTTTCACACGGATTCCTCGCTGCACAGGTAGCAAAAATGGCCGCGCTATGGAGGATCTTCGCTGGGCGGTGAGTTTCAAGCCCCTAGGAACGCATTAATCTGGTTCTAATGCGTTTCTATGGGCTTTTAAAAATCGCATTACGACGTTTTCATTCTACAGCGATTTCACTGGAATGAATTAATGTTGTAATGTGAGGCACTACTGTATGGGAATTCTTTTGAAATGCTGCCTATGTTGCATTTAAGATTTTTAAAAAAGAGGGAGGAGCACAGACCGGTACCTACACAAAAACTCTAACCACCACCCACAGCAAAAAAGAGGCATAATCAAAACACTGGTAGACTGTGCAAATCGGAACTGTGAAGTTCAGTTTCTCAGCACTGAACTCAATCATCTGAATTGGGCCCTACAGGCAAAATGGCTACTCCAAAAATGAAATCACAAGAGCCATTAAACCAAGAAAACACCAAACTGAAGAAGAAAACAGCCACCCACAAATAAAGTATTTCTGCCATACATCAAAGGGGTCACGGACCACATGGGGAAAATACTGGACAACACCAGCAATCATTACATCAGACTGCACAGGGAAGCCACTGAAATCCACAAGCACCAGCAGAACTTCAACAAAAAAGAGGCAAGTTTGAAACTCAACAAAACTTGGCTCCCAGTTCTCAAAAATACAGTGTGCAAAAGGTCAACGAACTCTACCCAGCCACAAGGACCGGGGATCACTACACATAAAAGACCAGCTAATGACACCCATCAACCACAGTGACAGATAATCTCTCCTTATCACAACACACCCACAACAAGACACACTAATCACCCATCTACAGAAAAAGACAAAAGCCCACCTCACAGCCATAAATACTCCACTCCCAAGCCAACTGCACCAGAGCACAGAGTGCTGTCCTCTGAGGATGCCGGCCACAGAAATTGGTGAAACGTTACGAAGAATAACCTTCAGAACACAACCAAAGAGCCCGAAAAACCCACAACAACCATGTTTGTATTTTACTCAAGAAAATGAGACAATATTAGTACATTAAACAAATCAATGGAGCATCACTTTACGACCAAATGAAGTGTTCATTTCAGAGAAATGTCTTTTGTTATGGCACAGAATGAAAACCTTTAGTACAATTATTTCTAAGGTCACTATGTTTGTTACCATATTCACTCTAGCAAACCTGTTCCCCTTGCTTCTGCCACATCATGCAGAGCTAGTGATCGAGTTTGCAAAATTTCACATATTGTGGGCCTTGAACATTTGTACCTGGGACTGAAGGAACCATATCACTTTGCTGTAGAACGAAACTGTCGTCAAGCGAAAGTAAAAAACCCATTGAAATGCATTGAAAACGGGTTCAATGCGTTCCAATGGGCGAAATAACTCAGCGTCCAGCGAAGATCCTCCACAGGGCGGCCATTTTCTGGTGCCTGTAATGTGAGGAGTCCGTCCTAAGCACAGCGGGAAGCCATTTTGAACAGCGGGCGGTCATTTTGAAACCCAACAATCAGCTGTTTTCTGATCATCGCAAAGCGAAAAATCGGTTCCCGGAGCAGGGAACTGATCATCGTGAAACGAAAAAAACCCATTCAATCATTGTTTTGCGATCGCTATATCACATAGTGAAGCGATTTCATCATTAAACTGGGTAATTGTTAAGCGGGGCACCACTGTATATGAATTTTAAGAACATTATTTAAAAACTCAGATTTTAAATCTGCTGATTCCCCAAAAGCCCTTCCGAAGAGGTTAGTTTTCAGCTACCAGCAAAAGAAAGGGAGGGAAGGGGCCAACTGCACCTCCCTGGGAATTTTCTTCATGCACCCTAAAGAACAACTAAGGGTTATTTATTTATTTACTAGATTGTTTTAGCTGCACCATTACCAATGGTCTCTGAGCGGCATACAATAATATTAAAACTTTAAAAACATTAAAACCATTAAAAACAGGCAATATTATAATAGCCTATATTAAAAACAGTCATTAAAACATTAATAAATCTTACTGCTCATATGGCCAACTAAAGTATACGATTTAATTAAAATGCTGGGTAAGCAGAAAGGTCTTTGCCTGGTGTCAAAAAGTCAAGTGTTGGTGCCAGGCAGAGCTCTATAGGGAGGCCAGTGTAAATTTTTCAGAACCGGCGTGATATGAGTCCGCATAGCGGCACCACTTACCAGCCACGCAGCCCAGTTCTGTGCCAGTTGAGGTCAATGGACCATCTTCAAAGGCTGCCCCAAATATAGCACATTGCAGTAGTGCAGTCTGGTTGTTATCAATATATGTGTGACTGTTGCCAGGCTCCGCTCATCCAGGTAAGGGTGAAGTTGATATATTCTCCGCAGCTGTAAGAAGGCACTTCTTACAGCTGTGGAGATAGAACACAAATCTCCAAATATATAACGCAGTATAGACTAGGCATCCCTCAGTCTCGAGAGACTATGGTAACATGCTCTGAATGTAGGAATTGGAATAGCGTCTAGTGTGGCTCAGAAGGCCAATTCGACAGTGACAATCTCTTCCATATTGAAGACAATCTGTCCCGTCCAGCTCCCTGATTTTGCTGGTTTCGTGACTGCCTCTTTGCCTCGGCCTGCTGGAGAAGGGTCTCTTCAAATTAGGAGAGGTTGTGATGCAACACCTGCCTCCAGGCTGAACACTCAGA